AATTGTGATACATGTATTTTTACCTACGCGTAACTTCAATTAGACGGTCGGTGAATTATTACTCAAATTAATAACCTTGCTCATTTCGTTGCCAGATACAGATTTAGCAAAGAGGTCACAATGGATCCGTTATTAATCGGCACTTTGAATTGGCTGGAAGTTTGTTTCTAAAATATACCATAAAAATTTTTGTAAGTGATATTTAACAAACCCTCAGCTTTTTGGTATGTAAGCGGTACAACCTTAGCACAAGATGGTCGCCGCTACTTTTTCTTAGCCTCCTCCTTCGTCAACGTTAGGCGACGTCAATGTTATTATTCCCTCAGGCTTCTGGCCACTAAGTCACCCGTAGGTCTTGATACTCCTTAAAACGTTTAGTTGGTGCACTCGGAACACCTCGTCCAATTGGTTTCAACCCAAAACTGTGGGCCTTGTAGTAAACTACTGTGGTCTGGACTCCTTCAACGGAGAGGCAACAGGAAAATGACACGAAATCTCTCTCTATCTCTCTCCTGGAGCACTATCGTGGCTCGCAGACCCCAACTTTGGCATCGAGCTCCTGAACACATTGCCACCGTACGCGAGAACGGAATTTCGGTAGACGTGACCTCTTATTTAAAATCAACGTCCATGTTCCCATCACAGCGCATGGCTTTCTATTGGTGAAGTGCTACGTTCAAAACCGTGAATTATTTTTACGTAACCAAACTGCCTCAAATGTGTCTGATCTCATCGGCTCTCGGCTCTCAGAAGCAAGGCGGTTCTATGACTGGTTGGTAATTGCCAGGTGGTGTAGGCCCAGGAGATGGCAGTGCTGAGTGCTATGCCCTTGTAGACATTTGTTGGGTTTCCTCCAAGTTTTCCCATTCCCTCTCACACGATGAACGCTTATCAATGTGATCCTCCAAACATCCAAATGCAGCAGGACCCTGATGTAAAATAGCTGTGAGACTCGGTGAGACTTGGCTAAAGAACTGGCATTACTATTACAGGCTACATTGGAGCAGCGGGCACTGTCTTACGGCCTGCCCAAAATTATTTATCTCGAGGGCACCACCTCAATTACTGGCGAAACGTCGCAGTACTCGAACTGTACATGTTGTGGGTTTACTCTCCAACACACCGGTGTGCTGAACTCGTAAAGAATCGGTACGTTGTTTCCATTACAGGCCTTACTAGTTGCCTGTTGGGTGGCGACGGGTTCAACGACATTTATATTTACGCGATCTAATCCAAAAAAAAAGCCTGGATTACGGATAATATTGTTCACGGAAACCGACTACGTCTTAAACTAGTCACATCAATGTAAAATTATAGTTGTTGCGCTGACATCAACAACGGCCATACGAAGGAGAATAGACCATAGTCTAAGTTTACCCTCAACCCGGATTTAAACTTGCAACAATTCTAATACCCGAGTTTAACAACTCGAACCACATCACCAGCTGGGACCTGGCCAAGGCCCCTCACGAGCACGTGCAACGTTCACGAACGTTGCAGTTATTTCCAATTCAAATTGCGAACACTGCACAGGACAAACGGGCTCCGAATGGCAGGCTCTGCGGGGCTCTCGCACAAAAGGTCACGCGAGTGTTTTGGAAACGTGACGGAGCTCTCCTCTGGCCCGGGTGACAGAACGCGGCTGTTGCCGCCCATCAGGCAAGCAAGCGTTTATTTTTTTCTGTTACCCTTCAAGTGGTTCCATTACATCGTCGGCACGTTACAGTCGGGAGAACAGAGCCCCAAGTCGCCGTCAGCTTTCCGCGGTACAGCAGTGCGCATCGCTGCGTTCACATCCGCTTCAAACGAGACGCAAACAGAGGTGGCAAAAACACAAAAGCACGCAGCCATTGGTGCATGTGACCAAAAAAAAAAATGAAACCCAACCGCATCAGCATTTCCTGAAGTGCAGTGTGGTCCTACGTCACCATCAAAGTCAATTTGAGTAAATGGGGCCGAATGACAGCAGCAGCAGTGATGCACCGATTGACAACTGTGGACCGGCTTCATTCTTATTAGGACTCATCGGCACAGCAAAGTCACCAGTGCCCCACTGTTGTAAAGTCTACCTCAGGCGGACGGTGTTCACAATTTGAGCCTGCTTGGATAAAGTTTTCGTTCATGATAACAATTGTTTGGGTAAGATCGTGTTACTATAAATGTGTTGTTAAAACCGCCACCAACAAAAAAAACCCTTTATTATGGATATTGGTCGCGAAAGCCTACGTGTTAAAGTTTTCGTTGTGTGCTCCCATGTTAGTAAATCTGTTTAGTCGGCTTAGCACCCGATTTTACAATTATATTGTACATAATATCTATTTTTTTGTTTAACAATCCCACATTGTGTACAACCAAAGTGAGCTAAATAACAAAACAGTCGAGTGCGTTAACATAATCACAATGTTCAGTGTTCCAGGATCACGGTGTCATCAACTACACGTCCGCTCGAGATGTGTTCTCATTGCTATTTTACAAAATATACAATGCACTTGTTTTTTTAAATAAAAATGATTCATTAAAATAAACTAAAATTAAAAAGCATCAACTAAAGAGAGCAATGGGTCTTTCGTGTTGACCTATATGAAGTGCACGGTTATTGTCAGTTTAACTATACATGGCAGTGGCATGAATGTAATCGAATGCTAAGGCAGATTGTCACATGGATTTAGAGTTTAAAAAAAAAATCGTTCATTCAGAATGAGTTTTGGATAAAATATCTGTATATATTATTAGGATTTCAGATTTATTCATTTTTAAACGACAATGTCGCATTTGCAATTTGATCATTTTTAAATACTTTACATGACGCAATGGAGCGTGTTTGTGTGAACAAAAGTGACATCACGTGAAGCCAGCCCACATCTGGCGGCAAGAGAGCAGACGCGAAATAGTTTGGCATCAATCTGAAAACGTTTATCCGTTCGCATCGTCCGAAATCTCGTATCTTGGCCTGATTTTCAATCGTTTCCCCTTCAGATTAATCCAAATAGCGGCGTCGCCATCGTGAATTCCTACATATTTACGTCACAGGTTTACAGTGGCTTCAAACGAGTGCACTACTTTGTTTTCTTCCAATACTCCATATAATACAAATAAATGCACAGTGCAAGTTAAAGCGACATGAACAAATATCGAGCTGATGCAACTCTCCGAGCATCTTGTTCATATTAAGGGCAAAATTAATAACACTCGGAGACTCATTAAATCTAGATCTGAAGTTTTCTTGACTGCAGGGATCCATGCTCTTTGGTTCTTTCGGTAAAGTCACGTAGTAGGTAGAAAATAAATACAATAAATTAAATCACGACGTTTCAGATGCAGCAGTTCTCCTGCTGCATCTGTCCCACCTGATGACGGTCGCTTGTGTTGCGCCCGAAACGTCGTGATTTAATTGATTTTATTTTATACCTACTACGTGACTTTACCGAAAGAACCAAAGAGTCCGAGACTCATTCTTCAACACAACCTAGGGCCCTGCGATAGCGCAAATTTGCCTACTCATTAAAACCAGTGACGGAATTGCATACGCTTGGCTCGCACTTGTCCGTGTCTAGATGTGGAATTCAAGCAGTTGGACTCAATTTAATTATCGTTGAAAATGCGCACCCTCATTGCATTTCACTTGGAGCCCTGAAGCTACACAATGGTCAGGGCCGTAGTAATGTAATGTGATTTTTCACCCGACCAAATCTGGATAGCCCAGCCACTCTCTCACTCATAGGTCAAAACGACAACGGACGGTGACATTCTGAGTGGACGGTGACATTCTGAGTGGAGGAAAACAGATCTTGGCGGAGGTTTGTCGTACACAAGTCAAAGGTGTTTCTGCTTGAATGAGCGTTTCGGGTCGCAATCGCTTTTATTGGTGACCCTGAGCCCGTGGTGTACATTCCACGTTCCCATGGCAGGTGCTATTCCCGACACGTTAAGACTACTGCTCACGTCCCAAAATACGTATACTTATTGTGTTAGTCCCATGAGGATGAAAGATCCCGTGCCCCTACTGGACATCTGTGAAAAGGAGCTTTATAGCTTATCAGATTCCTCCAATATAAATACATATTCCGATTCTGTCTTACTTGGGATTTGAACTTTGCGATCTTCCAGTCGGGAGCCGAGCCTTTTGAACCCAGCCGCTCAGCAGAATGCAAAATGTGATCATCGTAAAATCGCGGCCGACAAAACATTTGTATCGAACGTTGAATCACACATTGCTTTCTTATGTAGTATTAATATATTTTCCGTCACGCTCAACTGACAACTTTTTTTTACAAGGGATACTCATCTGCACCTACAATAGTTGGCCAGGTCTGTATCTACATGCATTGGCCGTGACGCCCGGCCACATTGGCCATGTTTATAGCTGCCTTTTATACCAAGAGGCTGCACAATTTAGATATTTCACCATTCTCAGAGTGACGTTCATAGGCACAGGGATCTGCACAATCTCATAAGGTCTCTCAAGAGTAATTTCTTCTGGCTGACGGTCTGCGACAAGGTTCGTAAGTCTAGAGACAGTGTCCAGCTCATGTGGTTGTTTTTTTTTTTAATTCTTTAGTGTCACTGATATAACCCCAGTTGCTTTAATTCCCCAATTACACGCGGAGACAAGTTGGTGGTGTACCGACGTGCAGCGTTTGAAAACAAGGGATGCGTGAGCCAGCAGTTGATCAAATAAATAAATAAATACGCGGAGGCAACACATTCACATCAAACAATCTGAGCGATGTGCGTCGAGGAATTGATCGCGACGATCGGACCGGACGAGTTGACAACGTAGTCCCACGGCGTGCGGGCTCCTGGCAGCTCGTCCAGCCGCACTGCTCCGCACGGAAGTCGCGAACCCCTCTCCCACCTCCCCCCCCCCCCCGCGAGTCCACCGACCCACCGCCACCGCGTCCCCCCCCCCCCCAACCACCAATGCCGCTCCGGCAAAGCGGAAGGCACCAAAAGAAGCAGTTGTACGCATCTGCGTGTTGTTCTTTGTCGTTTCGTTTTTGGAGGCCACCGACCTCCTTGGCGTGACCCTCCGTGCGACCGCCTCAAATCTCCAATTTGGCCTCCTCAGTCCAGAAGCAGAAAAAAATAATTCCTCTCTGCGTGACCGCGCGCTGACGTTCGTTGCAAATTGGCCACCAAACACTCGGGGAGGCGGGGTGGGGGGGGGGGGGCGGTGGTTTCTATTGGCTGGGCGCTGGGCGAGGGAGGAGGTCATACGGAAGGGGTACGGGCTGGGGGTCGAGGTGGTGGGACCTTCTCGCCGCGTGCCCTATCCGCTCGGCGGGAGCCTCGTCGTCAGCCCAGCACCGGGTGCAGGGTCGTCAAACGAGGGTGCCGGGTTTCGGGTCGCTGTCGCCCATCCACTGCAGGTCCCTGTCGTCGTCGTCGCCGTCGCCGCCGCCGCTGTGGTGACGGCGGTGGTCGTCGTCGTCGAGGGCGGTCGCGTCGCTGTTCCTCCGCTGCCGGTGCTGCGCCGGCTCCGTGTAGAAGCTGACGCGGCGGGGCAAAAAGCAAGGAGCGCGTTGCTACGAAGCGACCTCTACGGGCACTTACGGCAAACGAGCAAAACCGATACGAAATTGCACCGCAGTCTGTCGGGCGTAGCTTGCCTTTCACGCTTAAAGTTAACATATAGGGTATTTTTGTCCTGTAACTTTACCGAGGCAACGGTCCCCCAGTATAGCCTCAATAGGGTTCGGAGCGCAGTGTGCCAAGCGCTGCACCGCCCTTGCCCAATGTGATTCACTGGCCGACAACTTCCGTGCATCATTAGACCTCCTTTGCCAGTACCAAAATGTAATAATAGGGTTTTTTCCCCTTTTTTCTGGCAACAAAACTGAAACCTTTTTTTACAAGGATTCATGTTTGCATTAACCACAATACCTGCAGTCAGAATGCAAACAAAAAACATACTATGATAATATATGCATTGTCCTTGAAACTGATTGGTCCACACCAATGGACCAGATCTGGTCGAGCACCAATTGGGTCAAGGCTCAAAAGAAAGCCGTCCCTTGGTGTGGACCAATCAGTTTCAAGGACAATGCATATATTATCATAGTATGTTTTTTGTTTGCATTTTGACTGCAGGTATTGTGGTTAATGCAGACATGAATCCTTGTAAAAAGGTTTCAGTTTTGTTGCCAGAAAAAAAAGGGGAAAAACCCCTATTATTAACTTCCGTGCAGTTTGAATCGTCGTGATGGGTGGTCTGGACGCCCTCCCCAGTAACTTTGGGGGTGGGCCGGGGATGGGGAGGGAGTTAAAACTAAAATAATTTATTTTTATTTTTACCAGGTAAGGCCCACTGAGCTATGTAGCTCTTTTTGCAGAAGTGACCTGCCCACAAATGGCAGCTCAACAAAGCGGCTTATCTTCATGTGGAAATGTATAGCAGCGAAATACTCTAAACGCCCGTTGATTCTAAACGTGGAGGGAAAAACCGGAGGAGAGAGACACACGCAGACTCCAAATATATGGCAGGCATCAGGGTCAGGATCGAACCCACGACCTCCTGCATACCAGGCGAGGGAGTTAACATCTCACCACCGTGGCATCACGTTGGTAGGGGCAGATGCCATCGCTTTGCATCCTACTCAAGTGGTGCTATGCAATGTCTAGGTCCATTAAAAAAAAAACAGCTGACAGGTCGCTGGTGTGGGTCGGGGTGGGGGGTGGGGGCGGGGCCAGGGGCTCACCGGCGCGGCGTATTGGGGATGGAGTGCCGGTGCGTGTACATCGCAGGGTGGTGGCCCGGCGGGGAGTGGTGGGACGGCCCCATCGAGGAGCCGGGCGCGGGGCCTCGCTTGGGGATGAGCGGTAAGGTTGCTGCGGCGGACCACACGGAGAAACGCTCTTTCAGAATTCCCCGTTGTTGTCCGCACCCACTAGTCCGGTGTCATTCGCGAACACTGCATTTCCAAAAGCGGGAAAATCATTCGCAGTTCCCGCAGATAATACCATTTTTATTGTCGTCATCAGCGCTCTGCTGGCGCGCGTGTGGGCGCGACGGCGCAGCACGTACCGGCGGAGACGGGGCACGGCGCGCGTCCGGCCCAGCCGCCCGATGTTCGGCCGTGCCGCGGCGCGGTGTCGTAGGTGGCGCCGTAGTGGACGGGAGAGCCGTACGGCGGCGCGGACGTGATGCGGGGCTGCCGCGGCTGCGGGGAGGGGCAGCCGGCGGGGGCGGCGGCACCGGCGGGGGCGGGCGACGACGAGGAGGAGCAGGAGGACGAGCAGCAGGCGGCGCGTTCGACGTACAGCTGATCGTTGCTCGAGGTCGCGAACACGCGCTCCGCGCCGTCGCTGAACGCGGGGAAGTCGACGCCGCGCTTCTTGACGTACCTAGAGGGGGGAGTGCAGAGTCAAACGACGCAGCGGGGTGGGAGAGTCTCCAGCGGGTTTGGAGATGGTCGGGAGGAGGGGGGACGCACTACGATGGTTGGCACCGCTGGGATCGGCGGGTTCGGTTAGACGCCCGCGAATAAGCCGAGTCCTCCCAAGTGGTTTGGCGATTTTCAGCCCCGGCCGATCAAAAAAACACAGCATCGAAATTCCAGCCTCTCGAGATGTAAACATTTCGGTTTGATCGCCACGCGACGAGCATTGTACTTGCACGGCAGAGTGGGTGGGGGGGAAAGTGCTGCCCTCTACTCCGTGCTTGCGGCCGGCTCGCCCGAAGGGATTTTCAGAGCTAGCTACGCGACATTCCTTTCCGTGGGCCATTCGTTCTCCCAACACGCAAGGGGGGCTTTTGTGCCGCCCGGGGTGAGAGATGCCGATGGATGCCTTCGACCTCACGGCACCGATCGCACGGTGAATGCGCACCATCATCGCACAATCGCGATGAAATCGGGAGCGGCGGCGGTGGGGGTGGGGCAATATAAGCGATGATTAAAACGCAAGAAAATGACCACCGCTGCCGCTGGTGGCAGAGGAGCGAGAGGGACGGGCACGCCACGTACCACCTGTGCAGCTCCGAGGAGACATACTGGCGGTGCGGTTCGCGGCGGTCCATTGGCAGCGAGTACTGCTGATGCTGCAGTATGTGTCGTCGCTGATGATGCTGCTGTAGTGGCTGCTGCTGATGCTGCTGCTGCTGCTGCTGATGATGATGTGGATGCTGGGAATGTAGCAGGTACGGAGAGCCGGGCGCCGGCGAAAGTGACCGCTGTGTCATGGCGAGCGTGGTGACGGGCGAGAAGAACGACACGAAGTGCCGCCCCCCTCCCCCCATCGTCGCCAGGTCAGCCGCCGCGTCGTAGTTGCCACGGTAACAGCCCAGCGACTCCATGCCTGGGCAGGTGAGCGACAACCGTGATGTTACGACGACGTAAATAACAACACTCTTTCCCATATTTGTCTCTCCGCGTTAACAATATAAAGGTATCCCTTATACAACCTGTCGAACGTACGGCCTTCTGGGAGTGCAGCTATTAAGCAGAAAGCGGTTCAATGCCAGGCGTTTCTGGACCGGTATCGACATTCAGTGTCTCGTCAGGCTTGCTTGAACCAATGATGGTGAACTGCTAGGACTTTTTAAGCAAGCAAGGATTCTCTTTGTAAGGATCCTCTTTGGAGCGTAAACCATCACGCAAACTCCGGTCATCCTCGCAGCAGCAGCTTTTGGCTAGCCATCGAACAAAGACGGTCACCGCTTCGCGCACATTCAGATTGGAGCTGTGCACTTCTAAATCATGTAGATTAAAAACTAATTTCTTTAGAACTGCTTTTTGTGCTTAGTTTGCTGCCCTTCACCCCCGCACCTCCGGTTAGCATGGTTGGCAACGTACGGTGCGAAAGAAGTTCAACACACAGACAGTGGCTCAGCAGCAGGGTTAGCGGCTCGCCATCGTGAGGAACGCGAGTTTAAATTCAGATTTTGGAATTGCACCTGGCCAATGCTCTTCTGAGGTTGCTCAAATGAGTACCACTTTGTGGTTGTCCTATGGGGAGACTTTCTCCCCCTGCCATAGGAATGTGGAATTTCCACCGCTGGCTCAGGGCTGTAAATGGAAGATTAGCACCAATATTGGCTTGACTTTTTGAGTCCACTGCGTCTCCGATAAGCAGGGTTGGCTACGCACGGTGCGAAAAAAGTTTAGTACAGTAGACTCTCTATTTTCCGCGCTAATGACAAAGAACGACGATCGTGGATTATTTAAAATCGCGGATAATCCAAAAAGATAAATTTTCCGCGGATCTCCATGCCAAAAAACACTAATATAGGTCTAAATTAAGAAAATTTAGTTTGTTAATGAAGAAGACTGCCCACTTAGTGGACAGCAGAGCCATGCCAATCAACATCAATCAAACTCCGCCCACTGTTGTAAAGATATGCAATGACTGTACCGTAGAGGCGATCATGTGTGTTTTCGGATTAACTGGAGCACATGTGTGTTCACTTTAAGCACGTGACCTGCAATGAACGTCTCCAGGAATAACAATGCATAACTGCTTTTAAGATGATCAATTTGGGCTTCAGCGGAAAAAATCCACGAGTTATTAATTTACATCAAAATCTCAGGTGAGCTGTCAATCCGCCAATCGGACGAACCGCACGCCGATAATCGAGAGTCTCCCGTGTGTACACAAAGTCACAGCGGCTCCGTCACCTCGCTGCGGATCGGGGTCGCGTGGGGGCGCGCCGTCCAGCTGGTGGTGGAGGTTGCGGAAGGCGTGGACGTTGTAGCGGCCCTCGCTCAGCGCGTCGTAGCCCCGGCAGCGAGACGGCGTCAGCGCTCGCATGGGGGCGCCACTCGCAGACCTGGTGAGGAATAGCAACGGCGGCAGCGGCGGGTGACAATTTTTATTTGCGAATGCTTTGGATGGTTGCCCTGCACAGCTTGTCTTGAATCGATTCTGCTGAATTGATGCACTCCCAGAACTACCGTGCGGCTGATGGGCCGCGTGTTTTTCCTGTGACGTGGGGAGACTGATACACGAAGGAAACGTGGTATCCGCTCGCTTCAATGCTCGAAAGATGAAGGTCCACTACTTTTCTGTCATAAGCGATTAGCAATAACAAAGGTGATGAATTCTGCGTTTTTAAAGAACAATTTTTCAGATCATTTTCTGTGACCCAACTAAACTATTACACTATTAAAAAAAGAAATGCAAGGCCCACTGAGCTATATATTTTTTCAGAAGCGACCTGGCTATCACAAATGATAGCCCAACCAAGTGAATTATCATCATCGCACGGACATTTATAGCAGCAGCCAAACACTTGACACGCGTGTTGTTGATTCTAAATGTGGAGGGAAATAACCGGAGAACCCGGAGAAAAATCCACGCGACCACGGCAGGGGGGGAGAGAGAGAGAGAGACACGCAAACTCCAAATATACAGCGGGCGTCAGGGTCTGGACCGCACCCACTAGTTAACATCTCGCTACGTCAGCCCAGTACAAAGCACCGGTCACAGTAACGGGCAGGGGGGGGGGGGTGGGAGGATTTGGGCTCTCTGCCCCACCCAAGTGGGGACCGCGAGCGAGAATGTGAAAGCTTAATATGGGGGGGGGAGAGATCAGGGGAAAGATAACTCAACATAATAACACGAATCTCACACTTAAAAAGAAAATATAATCGGTGAGATTTCGGGCAATGTCCCTTCATCATAGCACGTAGACCAGCACGTAAGATCGTTTTTTTAGTAACGGTTTTGTAATTTCCCACCCCTCCCCCATGGGGCGTAGGGGCCCAGTGCTGAGCCACGAAGAGGATGGAAATCATACGGAGGTGGGGGGGGGGGGCCCTCGTTCTCCAGAACTGCTTGTTGTTGTTGTTGTTGTAATTGTGTTTAGTTTGTTGTCCTTGCCCACGCACCTCCGATCAGCGTGGTTGGCCGAGTACGGTGCGGAAAAAGTTCAGCATGCGCGCACATACAACACGGTCCCGTGCCAACTGCGCTAAGCCGCTACTCCTATTTTTGTTCTTTGCACAAGAAGGCGGCCAGAGACGAATGACCCTACGATGCGATGGGCGTAGCCGTCGTGGCAGTCGTCGCCGTAAAAACAGACAAGGTCATACCCCGGCTCGGGCAGGTGCGAGAGCTGGTGACGTCGGTGAACTCCGTTGTTGTTGTTGTTCGCCGACGCCAGGTTGGGCATGCTACCCGCGGCACCGCCGGCTCCTCCCAGGATCCCGCCGCCGCCGCCGCCGCCGCCGTCGCGGCCCTCGTGGCGGCGCGGCGGCGCGCCGGGCAGCTCGGCGCTCGACTGGCTGGTGTAGGACGACGAGCCGTCGTCGACGTGCTCCGAGCTGCTGCTGCTCTGGAGGCCGCCGACGCCGGCGAGCTGGGCGGAGGACGCGAGGCGCGCGGCGGCGGCCGACGGCGGCGGCGCCGCCACCCGGCGCGACGTGCCGGGAGTGCGGGCTGCCGCGGCTGCCACGGCTGCCGCGGCTGCCGCGGCGGTGGCGGCGGCCGAACGGGAGGACACCGACTCGAGGCTGCTGCTCCGCTGCAGCGGCTGCCGCGGGGAGGGGAGCGCCGCGCGCGCCGGCGTGGACTCCAACGACCTGGCGGCCGGCGACGAGGACGGAGGTGTCAGGGGCGCAGACCCCCCCCCCGTCAACAAACTAAACACTTTTTTTTTTTAACTTGATCAGGTAAGGCCCCACCGAGCTATGTAGCTCTTTTTTTCAGAAGCGACCTGGCTACCGCAAATGATTAGCTAAACGAAGTGGCTGATCGTCACATGGGAATGTATAGCATCCGGAAACTCGAAACGCGTCGATGTTGATTCTAAATGTGGAGGGAAAAAAACGGAGGAAAATCCACAAGACCACGGGGAGAGACACACGCACAAACTCTAAATATATAGGCGTAGGAATCAAACCCACGACCTCCTGCAGACCAGGCGAGGTAGTTAACATCTCGCCAGTGGTACCACCGCCAACAGCTTGCTCAGTGCCACTACCGTTGGAATTGCATCCACCAGGGGGAGCGAGCCAATCGTTGATGAGACGAGTGTTGGTATAATCTGCTGCGTCAATTTAATGATTTGTCATAAAATTATTGTTTTACGTTGACGTACAAACATTTGCATTGGGGGTGAGGGGGTTGAATCGACGCTGATGTAAAATATAATTTTCAATCACTGACTTAATTGTATTTTCTAAAGAGTGTGAGGATAAAGTCGATAAGTCAGGATAAGTAAAAAATTATGATTCTGAATCAGATTAATGACAGCAGCATCCTAACTACAGCGTTAAGAAAAGTGAGCGGGCTCGGTCAGCACACGCAACTCGAAGGGTTGATGGCCGTGGTCAAGACTACCAACAGTGGCAGCCAAGGGATGGAATGCATTCAAGAGGACATCCACCGAGGAGACGGAGCGATGAAACCAGCCGCGAGCTGGGCGCTGGATGAGAAATGGAGGCGACTAGGGGAAGGAGGCCTTCATCCAGCAGTGGATAGTTCATGACTGACAAGGCCGCTGATGATGATGATGACGATGGTGGTGACGACGATCGTGGTGACGACGATGGCGGTGACGACGATGGCGGTGACGGCGATCGACCGCGGGGGGTTGCCGCACCGGATCTGCGGGCTGTATTGCGGTGAGCAGGTGGAGGTGGAGGAGGGGGACTGGGCGCCGGTGGTCCCCGTCTCCAGGTAGCGCTGGGATCTGTGGAGCACACAGGCGGAGAACGTCGCGCGCTGTCAAGCCGGGGATCATCGCGAGGGCGCTAGCCGCCGTGCCGGAGTGCTCACCCGGCATCATCGCCGCCACTAAGCAGCAGCAGCAGCAGCGGCGGCGCAAAAAAAACCATCCGGGTGATAAAGCCAGCAGCGGTGGTAACACTCATCGTCGTCTTCTTCCTCTTTCGTATGGCGGCTGATGTAGATGCAGAGCAAACAACCACAATTTCACATTCAGGTGGTTCACGCCAGTCAACTGCATCGGGAGGAGCATCGGAGTGGTATGGCCATGACGTCCCCTTCGTATTTGTGCATCGCGTAATGCTCGTTCCTCGCGGCAAGAAGTTCCCGGGTTCACTTTCCAAACTCGGATGGCTTTCTGCGTGCGGTTTGTACATTCTCTCTCCCCCTGTTCTGCATGGGATTACTCCGGGTTCTGCATGGGATTACTCCGGGTTCTGCATGGGATTACTCCGGGTTCTGCATGGGATTAGTCCGGGTTCTGCATGGGATTACTCCGGGTTCTGCATGGGATTACTCCGGGTTCTGCATGGGATTACTCCGGGTTCTGCATGGGATTACTCCGGGTTCTGCATGGGATTACTCCGGGTTCTGCATGGGATTACTCCGGGTTCTGCATGGGATTACTCCGGGTTCTGCATGGGATTACTCCGGGTTCTGCATGGGATTAGTCCGGGTTCTGCATTGGATTACTATGGGTTCTGCATTGGATTACTCCGGGTTCTGCATGGGATTACTCCGGGTTCTGCATTCGATTACTCCGGGTTCTGCATGGGATTACTCCGGGTTCTGCATGGGATTACTCCGGGTTCTCTAGTTTCCTCCCATAACTAACCCCCCCCCCCCCACACACACATTGTAACTGGTTTAGGTCAAAACATTCCAATGCTGGAATAAATTACCTGCAAGTTACTCGATTTTGGATTTTCGCAGTGCAACATCGCTCCCCCACCGACCGTGAGAACTTGGCAGGACCCTCCTGAACAAAGAGTCTTGAGACTCGGTGAGGCTCTCCCGGGTAAACGAGGGGAATATTACGGGTGCAGTGGTTTTCTGATCTCAACCTGTACACCCCCAACGGCTGGGAAAACCACTGTCACGGGAGACAAATGAACACTCCCTCGATACAGGCCGAAGCAGTGTCTACCGTGTTTCACCAAGGGTGGTAGAACTGGTCGGGAGAGAGAGGTATGCCACTGATGCAATTGGCAGCCACCTGTTGTCAGAGGTGTGATCAGGGCTGATTAAGCCAGGTTGGGGGAGGGGGGGGTGTTGAAACAGGTGACCCGCCCCTAATAATGAGGCCGATGAGCCAATGGCAAAAAGGCGGCAGGGGGCTGCTTGCTCGAGTATTTAAAGGGCTGAGCCAGACCAAAAATACCAGGGACCACGGAGGTGCCGGTGCTGTGGCAAAGCTGCCAGTGCTGTGGCAAAGCTGCCAGTGCTGTGGCAAAGCTGCAAGTCGTCGAGGCTGTAAGGTTAAGTTTTACGCTCGTGATAAGGGTTATAGCAAAAGGGGTTATTTGCCAGGTGGCAGGAGAGTCAGTAATTGGGCTACGCTTGAAGGGGGCCTGGAGGGAGTGCATAGGTGCGCAGAAGGTGAGGGGAAACCATGGACAAGAGAGGTTCGTCCCCTGCCCCCCACTTCAGACTATACTCGTCTGTGAAAAGCAGCGTGTCCTTGCGAGTGTAACCCTTGCGCTGCAAGAACGGTGTGAATGCCCCAACACATTCGGATTAACAGAATGTTCACCGTTTGTTAACAACACCGTGTGTGGTTTCGAGACATGGCCCTTTGTTTGACGAACGGCCACTGCCTGGAATATTACCTTTTGTATATTCTTCCTCTTTAAGGCCACACTATTCTTGAAAAAAATGTTTTGTTTTTAAATATGGCAGAGAGGGTAAACTAAGAATCAAACCGTGCTGGCTTTGGAGTTTTTTTGACACAAACAATACCCTGATCTATCAATTCTACCCAGCTTGTACAAGTACAATGCACTAGTACCGGTTTTCAGCCCGAGATTCTCTCCAGTAGCAAAAGTTAATTTCAAAGTGTTTCCACCAGAGGGAACAATGTGAACGGGTAAAGCCATTTGCGTCCCATTAAAAACTAAACTATTTGTATTTTACCAGGTAAGACCCACTGATCTATGTAACTTTTTTTTCTTTCAGAAGCGACCTGGCCACAAACGATAGCTCAACGAAGTGGCTTATCTGTGTGGAAATTCATAGCAGTAGTCAAATAGTCTAAACACACGTTGATTCTAAACGTGGAGGGGATGAACTGAAGGACCTGTCAAAATCCAAGTGGTCACAGGAGGTACACAGACTCCAAATATACAGCAGGTGTCAGGGTTGGCATCGAACCCACGACCTCCTTGCACACCAGGCGAGGTAGTTAACATCTCGCCACCGTGGCGCCCATTCAAAAACTCGACCAAATTACTTATTGATTCTGGTATTACTGAAACTGCTCCATGATCGATAACCCACATGCATGAGGTCATGCTAAAACCGTGACCTGCTGGGCAGTACTTGTAAGAGTGATGGATGATGCAGGTGATGGTGTTAACTATGGTAAATATGATGGTGATGCTAATAATGATGAAGTTAATATCAATGGCAATACTGGTGGTGTTCCTGATGATGGCAATACCGGTGGTGTTCATGATGATGCCCATAACAATGGTGAGGAAGGCAACGCTATTTAATTCACGGATGACAGTCTGTGGCGTTGTTTATTAAAAAGTTGAAGCTGATGTTTATGGTGGTTTGGAATACACTGATGATGCTTCTACATTTTCAATGCGACACCAATGACGATAAAAATCGATGACCAATGATAATGAAGTCGATGACAATGACCGTAAGGGTTAATGCTGATCACGATCGTGCCGGTGGTGATGCAGAGAATGTTGATAAAATCGTGATTAAAAGGGGAAGTCCAGAGGTGGGCTACTGGAAGACTGAGCCAGCACGGTTGAGAAACCTGGGTTCGATTCCAGGCAGTTGTCCACGATTAAAACCAGGTCCTTAAGTCGAGCAAAGTTGATGGTCTCAGCCTGGTCACCAGTGACCGCACAGGAAGGCTTTTTTTGCGGAGTCTCAAGGCTTGTTTTCAGGAGGGTCGTTTTTGCAGTGGGGGGGATGATGATGCTTTATGGAATCCAAATAAAGTAACTAGCAGTACATTTGTGAAGATATGGCTATTTAGCCAATACCGATCTCCCTTGCAACGTAGCCGAGTAACTGGCTAAACGGGACTTTCCATGCAAAAACAAATTAACGATTGGTTGAGTTGCGTTGTGAGTTTTTTTAAAATACTCTTTGGTTCTATTCGGTAAAGTCACGTAGGTAAATAATAAAACCACAATAATCACGACGTTTCGGCCACAACACAAGCGGCCTTCATCAGGTGAAGGCCGCTTGTGTTGTCTGGAGGACAGCGCTGTCCTCCAGACAGGCTCGTCCCTTCACCTGATGAAGGCCGCTTGTGTTGTGGCCGAAACGTCGTGATTATTGTTGTTTTATTATTTACCTACGTGACTTTACCGAATAGAACCAAAGAGTATGGATCCTTGCAGTCACGAAAGCTTTAAAATCTAGAATTTTTTTAAAATAGTTTTTTTTTTATCTTTTGAAAGGGAATCTCCTCCGAGTCTGCAGCTGCGTGACCATCTGCTTCTTGCATGGGCCATTCTCTACTACGGGAGACCCGCATGGCGGCGGCGGCGGCGGCGGCGGTGGTGTTGCCGGGACAGGCATGTTGGGGTTACCCGCGCAGGCTGGGTGGATGCCGCAAGGTCCTCTCCGACCGCCGGGGCAGCACGGGCGTGAACGTGGCCGGGTGCTTCTGCGGCGTCGAGTGCGTGGAGGAGAACAGCGTTCCCACCGGCTCGTCTGAGAAGGCAACGGGGGGTGGGGGGGGGGGGGCACACCCAACGCGCACGGTCAGCGCAACGTGCACACGCGACGGCCTCGCTCGCGGGTAAAGTAGCCCCGCCGGTGCCACGCTCGCGTCACATGCAGGTGGACGGGCGTCTGGGCCGACTCTTTCGCGCCTGCCAGATGTATTTTAGAAAGGGGTGGGAGAGTAGCCACCTCCGACTTGAGCACGGTTAGCTACGTGCGGTGCGACAGAAGTTCTTCATGCGTACATACTTGACCCACCACCACCGCGCGTGACCTGCCAGATCGACTAACTGTGTGGTGCATTGTTTTTTTGTTACTGCTGGGTGAAGAAAGTTTGTGGGGGGGGGGGGGGGGGGATTGGCAGAGGGATTTAAAAAACATGCCCCATTGCTTAACTGCCACGAGGATTGCAAGTCCAGTGTGCTCAACATTGCACTGCCGTGACAGCGTGCAAATGCTTTCAGACACGGGTAAATAATCGCCAGACGTGTGACGATTCTCCACCCGCCGCCAAAGAGGTCGGTGAGCAGTCGCTTGTGTAAAAGTTCATACGCAACGTCAAAGCGCAAAAAAAAAAATAATCTATGCATCGGCTTCAAACGCTCATCAAAGATTTATGCTCTCGGGGAAAATGCTCCGTTCATAATGCTTACCGTCGTCCAAAATCACTCCGTCCGATTGCGACCCGTCGTCCATCAGGATGCTGTCGTCTGCCAAGGGAAGGTATAAGAGCACTTGGTGAAGTATGTTAGCGATGTCGAAATATTCATAATGTGCGCAGGTCATACTTTCTGCAGCCTCTCCGAGAAGAATCTGAACAGCGCCCATCATAGTCAACTCCATTTATTTGGCATATTTCCATGCTTTTGGTGAGTATCCGGGCAAACCTTGCACCACTTAAACAGAAGCCTAGGCACAGTGGCACTGCCAATGAGCCTAGGGGCTTCCTTCCTCATGCCGTTTCACGAGCTATATGAATCGTAATCAGTTTATTTTTGGGTTAGATAGTCGAGGTAGGTGTGAAGTACAGTTTCAAATATAACTCTCCACCACCCCACCAAACAAAGTTGTCACGCCATACGCAAATTTGCCAGTTGATTTGGCTTTTCAGCAAGCCTGGGGGAATGTTAAATAGTAAGTCGAATTTGTACAACTTTTGACAAACCTAATCTATCAAACCCGGAAGAGACTTTGGCAATCCTGTACTGAGATCTCCAGGTTTAGAATGTGCACCATTCCACCATCCATCCCAATTGGTTGAAAGCAACAGTTGATGGTGCATGGCAGTAGCGGCGCGACATCCAGCGGTGAGACGTGGTTAAGCTCTGCACGCACGGATGCCCCAGTGAGACGGCCTCCCCCCTGGCCAGCCGCCACCCCCCTGGCCAGCCGCCACCCCCCTGGCCAGCCACCACCCCCCTGGCCAGCCGCCCCTTCCCACCATACCTGTGATGATGACTGATGTGCGCTCCGTCGGCTTCTTGCCAACACGCAGCCGCAGCTCGTTGATGGCGTCTTCGATGGCCTGAAGGCGACGCGCGTCCTGTGTGCGTGCGCGTCGATACCAAAGAAGAAGTGAGCAATCTGAACGACGCCCACTTATTTTTTTCACCTAATTATTTGGACTTGCGATACACCGTATCCTCTCACTCTGCAACAGCGGGGGGGTGGGGGGGAGGAGGAACGACTCGGGATGCCTGCGAATTGAATCCGGCAGACCGCCCTGGTTAATGTCGCAGGTCCATTTAACCACAAAATACGTGACGCGTGTGTGCTTCACCACGGCTGTTAAAAGATCCCCGTGACGGCATTGGAGGCTAGGGGATGATGCCGAGACGAAGCAGCGGTGACAAGCAACTGCAGCACCTCTACCGGCCTCTCACTGTGAAGGAACGCCACCCCCATTATAAATAGGATCTCTTTTGAAGGCCAAAGTGTTATTGACGATTGAGAAGCGTTTTAGTTTTTACGTCCGTTGTCGAAAATTGAGCGCTCAATCGGCGCTGGCAATTAATGACAAGCGCAGACCTGGCATATCCCCGTTGATCGATATTTCACTTTGGACGGTGTCACAGCACCCACATTAATAATTTTTTTTCATGCAGGCCACGTTTTGTACATTGTCAAGTTCCTGCGGCTGCCAGAAAGTCTGCAGACATTTACGTGCGTGCGATGCCACGGGCAACCGGGTCCCAGCATGGCACCCACCACCACCATCGCCGTACGGCTGCCGGCGTGGGAGTACCTGCGTGTAGGCTGCCTTCCGTTTCTTGCGAACTTTCTTCGTGATGTTGGGGTCCCGCGCGAGCTTGTGCGCGGCCTCCACGATCTTCTGCTGGATGGCGAACTCTCGCTCCAGCCGCTCCACGTCCTCCTCCTGCTGGCAGACCGCACGGCAGCGCCCGCGTTAGCGCCCCGCTCGAGGGTCACGGAGAAGAGTTATGGATGTTTAACGTGTTTCGCACCGTACGTAGCCAGCCGCGCTAGTCGGAAGACGAGGCCGGGCCTAAGACTGGGCCTACCGTGATACCACGAGTGGATCTTGCGGGGTTGGGGGCAGGGAGAGGGTCACAGGAGGTGTTGATTGCAACCGTTGTGGGATCTGGCGGAAGGAAGTTGATGGGGAGTTGGTCACGTAGCATCATCGTTTGCATTGGCCATGACGATGGTTATATAAAACGGTTTCCTCACTGTCATCGGAAACACTGCCTCAGAACAGAAGCATACGACGATCACATGTTTATGCAAAATGCACAACAGCAAGTCCCAGCATGATTTATATGACAAGAAGGCGGCAGTGTTCGTGCATATAGCCTGCACACAGCCTGTCACAGCCACCAGATCCAACGGGCTAACATCTCGATGATCATTCGCGTCGTTGTGGAGAATATAAAGAACTAAATTGGCAGACCACACGTCTCCACGTCCGTCTCTCCGCAATAAAAAAAAACAAGTGGTTCTTACACATCCCATCAACTGCACGGCATTCTGGGAGTGCATAATTTCAGCAGCACTGATTGGAGATGAGCGAAGTATGTTTTGACATACAAGGTATCACCAGCAGTCGGGCTTGCTTGAGACAATGCTGGTGAACTGTTGATCGTACAGGCACGGACCCCGTCTGTACTAGGACCCTTGTCCTAAGGAGCTCATTGTGTGGTCCTCTGTATTTTATTCGGCAGCAGAAGGATAACAAGGACACTGCAGATATCCCAGTTTTGTTATCGGTATTATTAGGTCTCGTCAATACAGCGTAGCTGTCATTGATGACTGCTGCCCAATTGCGATGTATGCTGAGCAGCCCTCTCACGACATTGGCGGATAATGTGGCCTGAGCCCAACGGTGAAAACAAGGATATATATTCGAACACAATCAAGAGTCATCGTGTTGTCATCTTGGTGTTAGTTTTGCTTGCAGCCCGCATACATTTTTCTGGTTACATGGATTTCTTAAGGTGTAAAAAGTGCTTGGAATTGCGATAAAACATCATACATATATAATGTGTACTCACACCCAAGGCACAATTTTGAGTGCCCTATAAGATGCGAAAATTTCTAACGGATGCCAAAATAAATAGGGTTGATTTGTCTCTTTTCTGTACGTGCAGCTGTACCAGAAACGCTGAGCGGCACTATTTTATCATCATCACTGCCACCAAAGCCACATTTGTAGGGAGACAATATTGAGCACCGAGCTTCCAAAGGCTGCAGCCTGGGGCCAGAGTGAAATCTAAATGAATGTCACGGCGTGGTCACGGGTGTAATAACAGATTTAATGGATCTCCCACAGCCAGCCAGCAGCGGTTTCGTTGCCCCTGACGTCCTGAGACGTCTTCATGAAAACGCGTGTCATTCGACGTCCTCGTTCCAGTAAATCCACACCTGACGAATCGCATGGCGTCATCTGCCGTGTCACTGGGAACGAACCGAGGGCACGGTTTCACCGTGCGGAATGCCTTGTTAATAATTCCTTGAAGACAACCGCTGGTGGTAACATTCAATTGCGTCAGAAGGTCAACGTGCCGATGCGCACATCTCCTCCTCCGTGAATGGAAAATTCAAGGCGTGCAAGCCACAGTGGTACGATTGTGGCCACGCATCCCAAACTATGTACCCACATAGTAAACCACTGTAGTCCGTGCTCCTTCAACAGAGGAATATAAAAACTACACAAACTCTCTACCCTGAAGCTCTCTTATAGTGGCTAGTAGACCCCTCTGTTGCCATTGAGCTCCTGAACATATTGCGATCGTGTGCAGGAATAGAATACACCAACCATTGGAAGCTTGCCTACCTTAAATACTGTGATTTGGTAATGTGTATGTACAACACGGGGGTAAATCAGTGGTGCATAGTGGTTATCACACTGCCCTTTAAACCAAGCAACCCGAGTGTGAGTGCCATACCTGGTGTATAGCAGTGGCCTTTGGCATCTCCCCCCCCCCCCCCACCCCTTTCCACCAATCTGCACTGACCTGCCATGGTGAAGTATAGTCAACCAACTTCCCCCAACTGCGGAGGAAGCCTTCATCCAGAAGTGGGTTTGACCAAATGGATTACAATTATTAACGTCTGTATAAATTGTCCAAATTGGCACTATAGTTAGGGCCATGATTCGCAAGTCCTATTTCAATTCCTATTTTGCGATTTTTACTCCGCTTTCCATCTCTTCTATTTCAATATAATGAGCATCACTATTAGCGGAATTACTCTACGTAATACACAACGGCATTGATACTTCTGTACATTGTCGTAATAATGTGTTTTATATAACACGCTTCTCAACCTGTTTGCGAGTTTAATTTCCGTATCACTGGGAGATCCCGCCCCCCCCCCCCCCCACGCACAATAGGCATTACACCATCAAAAGCCAATTTGCCCAGGTACCAATGGACGATGTATTATTACCCCTAAACACCATCCCAGCACTGCACTGTTATTATTAATTAAACAGCCGTGGCGTATTGAGTTCACATCAAAATTAAAGTGTCTCCCCTCTCAAAACTGAGCATTGGGGGCATCGCTCATCTCATGGTAGGGCCCACCACTCTCTCTGAGGGACGACGGCTGGGGTCAATATTTAGCCTCTGCGCAGGATTGCCGATTGGCAACAACTGGCATGGGCGAGCTTTGAATTCGGCAAGTGGAATCTGTTTGAGGAAGACCACGACGAATGGATGTCTCTCGGCTATCCCAGGCCATCTGTTCAAAGGGTGGATTTTGATCCGATCCGGCATCTTGAAAAGGCTACGCACGGCATGGCGCGAAGCGATTTAAAGATGTGGCCCTATAATAAACGTGACGCCTAGTATCCAATGACGTTTGCAGGCCATCCTATCCAGGCCATCACGGAAACCACTTTCACACTGGCCGAGCGGCGGCTCGTTTATGACGGGTGACTTAATTGAGCGTTGATGGTTAATGGTCCTACTGGAGCATTGGACCGTCCATTTATAAACGACATGCGTTTAAGAGTCTTTGGCTGCAAATAATGTCCACAAGATAAGCCACTTCGTTGAGCTATCAATCGTGATAGCCAGGTCGCCTCTGAAAAAAGAGCTATATAGCTCAGTGGGCTTTACCAAGTAACATAAAAAAAGCTTAGTTTTATAGTTTTAACAAATTAATTCACGCGGCCACGGGGAGAGAAACGAGCAAAACTCCAAATATACAGCAGGCGTCAGGGCTGGTATCGAACCCACGAATTCCTGCATACCAGGCGAGGTAGTTAACATCTCCTAGCCACCGTGATGACAGACACGCAAACTCCAAATATACAGCAGGCGTCAGGGCCGGGATCGAACCCACAACCTCCTGCATACCAGGCGAGGTAGTTAACATCGACTGGAGGGGGGGGGGGTAAGGGTGATTTAGCAACGAAGCGTCCAGGAGGAGTCTGCCCTGGGCCACCGTGCTGCCGCCGCCACTGCGTCTCGGCGAGCTTACCTCCACCTTGGGGAACACCTTGCTCTCGTCCAGCTTGAACGTGGTGCCCACGCGCCGTCGCACCGCAGGAAGCTTCTCCCCGGGCCCCTTGGGGTACTCCACGGGCAGGGTGCCCGTCAGCTCCTGTGGAAGTCGGCGCGCCGCATGGACGCACGTCTCTTACGTCGCCGTCGCCCGGCACACCGCACACAAACGTGGTGGAGTATTCGCACGAAGGCCAAACTGAGCTGCTAGGAGTCGCCACGCAGACATGCAAGGCGAGAGCCTTTCTAGCCGCGTGCCCAGTGGGGCAACCTGGGACGCAGGCAGAGAGGGCACACCGGGTTCGGTGTCCGACACAACCCTTGCATGTCCTGTGACGCCACAGCCCGTGAATGGCATTACTTGAACATCGCAATTTGGGGAAGGGGAGGGGGGAAATGTTGCAGGGAGGAGGGGAGGGCAGAGGGAGCAGGGGAGAGTGGGAAATGTTGCGGGGAGAGGGAGGTGACTCACAGCCTCCCGCAAGCACAGGTGCTTGAGCTCGCTCGTGCGTTCCTCCAGGCGACGAGCCAGCTCCTGGTGTTTTAGCTTCAAGGCTTCCAGGAGATCCTTCCGCGCCGCTTCGCTCACCTCCCACTCCAGGGACACTGACGGACGCAAAGCAACGAACGCACGGAATGTCAAACGTTGAAGAGGAACGGACATTCGCATGCCCGCCACTGGGTGGCAGGTTGGCGCAGTGGAATCACTTGTGCCTCGTAGCCAAAAAAAGGGGCTGTAGCACGATTCCAGACTCGGGTTAACTTTCTGCGTGGAGCATGGATGAACGTTCTCCCCTGTGGCACGTGTATTTCCTCCGGTTTTTCTCGTTTCCTTCTCCCAGAGCAAAAAATAAATAAATCATGCAATTGGCATTGGCCAAAAGATCCCATTACTGTAAAATTGTTTTATTTTCTACCTACGTGACTTTACCGATAGAACCAAAGAGTGTGGATCCCTGCAGTCACGAAAACTTCAAATCTAGATTGAAATGTCTCACAATTTGGGATCACACACAGCAAACATCGCCTTCCTACTGCAAACGTGTTTTTGGCAATGCCTCTCCTCTGCACATCAGTGTCACCCATCCAAGCACTATCCAGGCATGACGCTGCTTAGCTTTTCAAGATCTGATGAAATCGGGGGAGGGGGGGGGGGGGTTAGAGGGCATTCTGGGTGATTTGAAGACGTGGAGATGATTATTACAGTGAGGGAAAAAAGTATTTGATCCCCTGCTGATTTTGTACGTTTGCCCACTGACAAAGAAATGATCAGTCTATAATTTTAATGGTAGGTTTATTTGAACAGTGAGAGATAGAATAACAACAAAATCCAGAAAAACGCATGTCAAAAATGTTATAAATTGATTGGGATTTTAATGAGGGAAATACGTATTTGACCCCTCTGCAAAACATGACTTAGTAATTGGTGGCAAAACCCTTGTTGGCAATCACAGAGGTCAGACGTTTCTTGTAGTTGGCCACCAGGTTTGCACACATCTCAGGAGGGATTTCTCAATCAGAAATCAGAAAGATTTCTGGCTCCCAGGTGTCTTTTATACAGGTAACGAGCTGAGATTAGGCGCACACTCTTAAAGGGAGTGCTCCTAATCTCAGCCTGTTACCTGTATAAAAGACACCTGTCCACAGAAGTAATCAATCAATCAGATTCCAAACTCTCCACCATGGCCAAGACCAAAGAGCTCTCCAAGGATGTCAGGGACAAGATTGTAGACCTACACAAGGCTGGAATGGGCTACAAGACCATTGCCAAGCAGCTTGGTGAGAAGGTGACAACAGTTGGTGCGAGTATTCGCAAATGGAAGAATCACAAAAGAACTGTCAATCTCCCTCGGCCTGGGGCTCGATGCAAGATATCACCTCGTGGAGTTGCAATGATCATGAACGGTGAGGATTCAGCCCAGAACTACACGGGAGGATTTTGTAAATGATCTCAAGGCAGCTGGGACCATAGTCACCAATAAAACAATTGGTAACACACTACGCCGCGAAGGACTGAAATCCTGCAGCGCCCGCAAGGTTCCCCTGCTCAAGAAAGCACATATACATGCCCGTCTGAGGTTTGCCAATGAACATCTGAATGATTCAGAGGACAACTACGTGAAAGTGTTCTGGTCAGATGAGACCAAAATGGAGCTCTGGCATCAACTCAACTCGCCGTGTTTGGAGGAGGAATGCTGCCTATGACCCCAAGAACACCATCCCCACCGTCAAACATGAAGGTGGAAAGATTATGCTTTGGGGGTGTTTTTCTGCAAAGGGGACAGGACAACTTCACCGCATCAAAGGGACGATGGACGGGGCCATGTACCGTCAAATCTTGGGTGAGAACCTCCTTCCCTCAGCCAGGGCATTGAAAATGGGTCGTGGATGGTTATTCCAGCATGACAATGACCCAAAACACACGGCCAAGGCAACAAAGGAGTGGCTCAAGAAGAAGCACATTAAGGTCCTGGAGTGGCCTAGCCAGTCTCCAGACCTTAATCCCATAGAAAATCTGTGGAGGGAGCTGAAGGTTCGAGTTGCCAAACGTCAGCCTCGAAACCTTAATGACTTGGAGAAGATCTGCAAAGAGGAGTGGGACAAAATCCCTCCTGAGATGTGTGCAAACCTGGTGGCCAACTACAAGAAACGTCTGACCTCTGTGATTGCCAACAAGGGTTTCGCCACCAATTACTAAGTCATGTTTTGCAGAGGGGTCAAATCCTTATTTCCCTCGTTAAAATGCAAATCAATTTATAACATTTTTGACATGCGTTTTTCTGGATTTTTTTGTTGTTATTCTGTCTCTCACTGTTCAAATAAACCTACCATTAAAATTATAGACTGATAATTTCTTTGTCAGTGGGCAAACGTACAAAATCAGCGGGCGATCAAATACTTTTTTCCCCTCACTGTAAGCATGTCATTATTCAATGCAGCTAACGTTGGGGATTTGGGAAAATTACAACCGACTACCATCCACACCCAGATGATAATCTTACCGTGACACCAATGGGCTGTACGATATTATCCTGCTCATCCACGCTACGCGCCGTTAATCCGGCACATTGGCTTCGGTGTAAAATTGGTTGGTGAAGAAAGTGTGTTTGTCCTTGTGCGGTAAGACTGCTGAACTGGGTCGGTTTGCGAAGTGGCCAACAGATGGTGATACGCCGAAAATATTTGTGATTTGCCTGTGCGCTCCATTGGTTGTTGTAGTTGTCCCCCTTGTAGGTTGCAGGGTTTCTTCCCACGTGCAACAAAATGCAAAAAATGAAATCGCAATTGGCCCAATATCTCGATGCATGATCCTCGTGGCAAATTAAGTCTTGAGACTCGAGCAAGCCTTTTCCAGGATCAAACTCTGCAAACCTAAATTTATACTTAACTTTCGTGACTGCAGGAATTCATATTCTTGGTTCTTTTGGTAAAGTCACGTAGATAGAAAACCGCGACGTTTCAGTCGCAACACAAGCGGTCTTCTTCTTGCGATCGAAACGTCGTGGGTTTTTTGCTTTTAATTTTGCTTTTTTTTTGTATCTACGTGACTTTACCGAAAGAACCAAGAATATGCAAACCTACACATTCACATATGTAGTGACATCGCGGGATGTCACTGTGCAGTGCCGGCCCTAGAGAGGCGCGGCATGCAGTAAACGACATGACGGATACCACAATGGTGTGGGTGTAGTACCGGGCCTAGAGGGACCCGGTGAGCGCTGATTGATAGCATTGGATGGCACCACGCTTGGCGTGCAGTGCCAACCCTACAGGACAGGGTGTGGGAGTGCAGGCCGTAGGATGAGGTTACTAAAGGCCATGGCACTCTGGTTAACCCGGGAGGACACGTGACCAGTTAAGTCTACAAAGGGGCCCAAGTGGGGACTAGGGGTGGTCACGTGGTTAGCATCCAGATTGTTCCCGAGGATTCTGGCAGGTGGTTGTGGCCAAGGTCGGAGGCAGCCACGCCGCAGAGAATATAAGCCGGGGCCCCAGAGGGGCCGGCGTTGTTGTTCATCCTGAAGAAACCTTCATTTACGTCCTACCGAGTCTCCAACACGTGGACCTGGACCCGAGCTGTGGTCCTGGTCCGTAGTAGCTCGTTACGTTGTGACTAGTGTAGTTAGCCTGGTGGTCACCACCTGGCGAACTACACCAGTCACGTGGTAACTAGTGTAGTTAGCCTGGTGGTCACCACCTGGTGAACTACACCAGTCACGTGGTAACTAGTGTAGCTAGCCTGGTGGTCACCACCTGGCTAGCTACACCAGTCACGTGGTAACTAGTGTAGTTAGCCTGGTGGTCACCACCTGGCTAGCTACACCAGTCACGTGGTAACTAGTGTAGCTAGCCTGGTGGTCACCACCTGGCTAGCTACACCAGTCACGTGGTAACTAGTGTAGTTAGCCTGGTGGTCACCACCTGGCTAACTACACCAGTCACGTGGTAACTAGTGTAGTTAGCCTGGTGGTCACCACCTGGTTAACTACACCAGTCACGTGGTAACTAGTGTAGCTGGCCTGGTGGTCACCACCTGGCTAACTACACCAGTCACGTGGTAACTAGTGTAGCTAGCCTGGTGGTCACCACCACAGGTTGTTATTCTGTTAAAGGGAAGTTACCCCGTGTGTTGGTGTTAAATGTGTTGCCTCCAAGTGTACGTCTGCGACTCGGTTGAACCCACTACATTGTCGGATTGTTCATTTATACATCCTAAAGCTGAAGATAATACTTAATCATCGGTTTTATTTTTTTAATGCATGCCTGTAAACATACTGCAATTGCCGTACGTGGATATGAATTATCCTGCAATTAAATGACAGCGTAACATTTTTAGGGTTATATTCTTAGTTTTTTCGGTAAAGTCACGTTGAAGAGAAACAACAAAATAACAAAATATATATAAAACAATAAAAAATTCTCACGACGTTTCGACCATAACTCAAACGGTCATCATCAGGTGTGTCGGTTTGCATAAATTTATTTAGAAAACGTCATATTTATTTATTTATTTATAAAAAAAATAACGTTTGCGTCACGCGCAACGATTGGCAGTTTGCCCAGGACTAGTCCATCTATTTTTTGAAAAGAGGAGGGGGGAGACGAAATTTGTTTTTATGTATGCTGTCTGAAAGCCACTGTAAGCGTGAACAATCAATCAAGAACTGAAATGATTTATCAAATCTTTCCAATGATTGCTAAGATAGAATCCATCTTCTCGGTTGAAATTGTCTCTGTGCTTGTATATGTGGATAGCCTCATGAACGAATCTCTCATGGAAGCCAGATGGCTTACAAAGAACCTCCGTCTTGGAAAAGTCAATGGCATGTGAGCCTACTGAATTAGAACAATGATCTGCTACGGCCGAGGTGTTGGTCCTACCGTGTTTAAGGTCTGCTTTATGTTCACGAATGCGGTCCGAGATATGGCGTTTGGTTTCTCCAATGTAACTACTACCACAGAGGCAACTTAGTTTGTAGACACCAGGGTATTGTATGTCCGGAATCACATCTTTTACAGATGGAACCAGATCACGGATTTTATGTAATGTGTTGAAACGGACCTGGATCTTGTGTTTATTCAAGATTTTGGAGATCTTTTTTGTG